CCAGATAAGAAAATAAAGCAGATAGAGGAGTTGAAAAGGAAAAACCAAAATTGGCCTTTTAAAGAGATCTGACCTAATAGCGAAAGAAAATTGTGGTAGGCAGAATAATAGCTCCCCAAAAATGCCCACATCCTAATCTCTGGAATTTGTGAATATATTACCTTCCATGGCAAAAGGGAATTTGCAGATGTGATTAAATTAAAGATCTTGAAATGGGGTGATCGTCATGGACCAACCAGGTAGGCCCAATATAATCACAAAGGTCCTTATAAGAGGGAGACAAGAGGGTCAGAGATGTTAGAGTGATGGCACAGCTGGATGGGGGCCATGAAGTCTTGGGTATCTAATTATGCTGTTTGTTGGCAGCTGACTTGTGCTTCTAGTGGACTGTTTCACTAAACGTTTTGTGCTTTTGGACTGTGAGTCCTTCCATGCAGTTTTATACATGGGAAACTTGTACAACCTGGGTTGAATGCATGGCCTTCCAAAGAAGCTTTATATTTGTTTTTACCAGGTGCCCCAGGTGGCCAGTGACATATTTTTAAGTTAAATTTTTAGTGTGTGGATTTCCAGACCATGCAATTTTGATGGACCAAAGAGAATCTTTATATCCTTCGTGATTTTTGGAATCCACACACATATTTGTACTAAACTAAATGCCTTTATTGAGAATTTGTTTATTTAGTTCAGCAATATTTGTTGAGTATGCTAGGCAGAGTAGGTACATAATTGAATATGCAACCATTCTTGAGGAGATGGACGTAAAAGCAGGAATTTAGGTTTAGCATGATAAATCTTGCGAGGGGTATGAATACAGGTAAGCAGCAAAGAAGAACCATTAACAATGGCTGGAATAGGAAGGGCAAAGTGGGCATTGCCCAGGTGCTGGTTAAAATGAGCCTTGTATTGCGAGTAATAATTTTTAAAAAAGATGATAAAATGACAAAATCATATGGTTGCTTTATCCTTAAGATGGCACTATAAACTCACAATTCCTTTGTAGAGAAAGGATACATAAAAATAACTGTGATTTATCCAAAAATTTCACTCAACCCTTATAATATAAACTAGAAAGGCTTTTGTGTGTCAGACACTAAGGGCTTGTATGTATTATTTTCATTTAATCTTTACAGCACCCTTAAGAAGTTGAGACAAGTATTTGCCCCATTTTTCAGATTAGTAATAGGAGTCAGAGATGGTGTGACTTGCTTTCAGTCACAAAGCCTATAAGTGGCAAAGCCAGGATTTAAACTGAGACAGCCTGAATCTGGAAACCGTGCACTTAATCACTATGTTTCCCCTCTTTATAGTAATCCACGTTGAAAATGCCACAATATTAGAATGACCAGTACAAAAACCCTCCCCCCACCTCCACCGGCCCCCGTTCTGGTTAAATCACACAGGAAAACAAGTCCCTTGCATGAGAAGAAGTCAAAGAACCCATGCCTTAGCCCCCAGAGAGTGACAGAAGACATCGGGCACCCGGAACACTGTGTTACAGCTGGTTCTCACCGCTCTGCCCAGACTGCAATTGGAGGCTTGTCCTGCCCTCCCTTGGCAGATGCCCCTCCTAAGCCCTCCCTGGGCATCTGGTCTCATCGAACTTAGCGCTCTGATTGTGCTGACAGGTTTACATCTCTATTTTCCTCACTAACATGTAATCTCCATGCTTAGTATAATGCCTGGAGCATAAATTTCTCAACAAATCTTTGCTAAACATTTTCTTCTTCCACATTCAGGCCGACCTTGCATCAGAGTCACCATTTTCCCAGTTAGCCTCTCCTTTGCTCCCTTCTATACATAATCTCCAACCCAGACAGCAAATTATAGAAAAGGCAATTTGTGTGAAAAAGTGGTTTCCATCTGAAGGACTTGTGTGTTTAGGTGAGAATTGGAATAAATGCTAACCCTGGGTTTAAATGGTTAAGCAGTATTTATTAGCTAGTATGCCTTCCCCTGGGGGCATTTCTAAACCTGAGAAAAGGATACTGTGCTTACCGTTCTTGCATATTTTCATCCAGGTGAAGTGCAGTTAAAATGAAGGTCAAGGCAACCTGGAGAAGGAAGAGAAGCATCCAGTCAGAGAATCCTGCAAAAGGGGCATGAGTAAGGGAGGGTAAGTTCATCTGCTCACCTTCCACTTCCTCTCTTCTCTTCTATGAACTTCAGGCTGTTTCTCAGCAACAATTGGTAATAGTTACCTCCTTCCTTTTTGCCCTAAGTCAATAATCAGCCCCCAACCCCTGCTCCCCACGCCACTTCCCAAAGCTAGTGCTCCAAGTAGTATCTCTGGTTTGGCAACCTTCAGAGCAATTTTGGTAGCCAATAAATCCTCTTGAGTGAGGGAAACCTGGAATCTTTGGTATTGGGCATGGAGTTGGTAGGAGAGCTAGGAGGTTCAGGAGACAGTCCTGTGAGGATTAGAGCACAGGTTTGGCAGTGTTGAGTAAAAATTCAAACGAGCCGATTGTAAAGATCTAATTGGCTTTATTGAACAATTCATGAATTGGGCAGCAGCCCATCTAGCAAGTAGAGAAGAGCTCCAAGGAGTTGTATAAAGTGGAAGCCTTTTATAGACAGGAGGGGAAAGGGAAAAGGAGAGAGTGGATTACTTCATCGTCCTATGAGGGATGAGAAGGGCCTATGTGGCTGATTACCTCATTGGTGCTGACCAGAAAATTCCAGATTGACCTGTTAAGACTACAATCCTAGGGGAGGTTATAACTGCAGTTAGGTTACCTACTAAGTCTTGGTTTGCTGATGTGGGGCTTAGCACGAGTGACTGTTTTGGGCCTGTTGTTTCTTTTTTTCAAGAACAGTGAAGCAGACCAAGGTACAAAGCCAAGCCCTACACTAGCTGCTGAACTTGGACAGATTTAGTTTTCCTGCTCACAAAATGGAAATATCACTAGCTCTACCTCACAGATTGTTGTAGGATTAAATGAGCAAATACATGTAAAGGTCTTTGAACGATGTCTGAAAACAATAAGTATTCAATAAATGTTAGCAATGATTATTACCATGGATTTATATAATCTGTAAGCAAGGAGTCTGGTGAATGACTTCATTCCTTCACCACATATTATAAATCCCTTATTATGCACTACATACTGTGTTAGGTCCTGACACCATCTTCAGTTCTTTATTCAGCAAATATAACTAAGCTCTGGACACGAATAATGCTTTGAAGAAATTATAATGTCTAATATGCTGATGAATTAGTCAACATCTTGAAATCTTCCTTCCCCAGTGTTTCAACTCTGTTTAGGGATGTCCCCCCATAGGTAATCAATCATTATAAATAGAAAGGATTTGAGTTACAAAATTTTGCTTTACTATAAAAGTTTATTTTATTCTCCACGAACTTCAGGATGTTTATTTTGTATAGTGGAGTATTTTTTGTTTTCTAAGTAATGCGGCATTTGAGGAGCTATAATGCTTTTTACAGATTAATTTACGGGTTTTGACATTCTTGAGCGGAAAAACCTCCCAAATCCATGAGCACAGTGGATTTTTGGCCACACAAAGCAATTAAGAGGTTTGGGCTTTAGGGTCAGAGAGAACTGACTGTTAAATTTCTCCACTTAATAGTGGTAAAATCTTAAGTAATTTTTTCACTTTTCTGCACCTTGGCTTCCTTATCTATAAAAAGGGATAATAATATATCCACTTTGGGGGATGTTTGGTGGGTTAAATTCATTCATTCATTTATTTGTTGAGTACCTACTATATACCGAGACATTCTTCTGGGTACTGAAAGTACAATAGTAAATAAAACAAGAAAGAGTTGCTGTTTTCACAGAGTTTACAGTCTAATAAGATAAAATTTGGGAGAAAATTGAGATTATGTGAAATAAAACACTCCTTAAAAATTAATTATTGCATCCATGTTTGCAATGCTTATGTCACAAATAAAAAGGCTTAAGAAGGGCTTCCCTGGTGGCGCAGTGGTTGAGAGTTCACCTGCCGATGCAGGGAACACGGGTTCGTTCCCCGGTCTGGGAAGATCCCAGATGCCGCGGAGCAGCTGGGCCCGTGAGCCGTGGCCGCTGAGCCTGCGTGTCTGGAGCCTGTGCTCCGCGACGGGAGAGGCCACAACAGTGAGAGGGCCGATACCGCTAAAAAAAAAAAAAAAAAAAAAAAAAAAGAGGCTTAAGAAGCATTTAACTGTGGCAGAGTAGAGATTCAAATTAGAATTGGCAGTTATACAGTGAAGATATTCTGATAAAGAAAAATAATGTTGAAAAAAGTTAATTGCTAGTGAAGAGATTTTCAAATTATTTTTTATTAGGTAATTGTAATTTCATAACAGCTGTTTGGGTATACAAATATGTATATACAATTTTCTAAACATGTAAATAAAAGGCAGTAGTCTAGTATATCTGCTTGAATTCATATTACTCAAAATATTACCAAAACATTTATTTAAAAAATCAGTAAAATTGTTTAACACATTATAAAAATCTGGGGGTATGTGTACATAAACATTTTTAAGCTTGCTTTACAAAAAAAGAGTGCAATTTCTATCCAAGTGTTCAGAGTGACTTTCAAAAGTAGTTTAAAGGGGGAAAAAAGAAGGTAGCATTGCCTTGTAATACAGCATTAATTAATACTGACTTATACCTTGGGACATTCATGAAAGATCCTTTGTTATCACATATGGTAAAAATATTTAAAAATTAATACTCCGTTTCTATGAATAAAACATAGAAAATAAGACTTTATTTTCTTAGATTAACTTGTTACTGTGAAAAGCTGCATTCATTCTGCAGATACTACTGACACCTCACATTATTACTTCAAAAATATTTATGATACTTGCACTTCAAAAGAAAACCCACAAGACCCATTCTCCTCCCAGTACATTCACTGAATGCAGATTTAAGTGAGCACATCTTATTTTGATTGTGCCCTTTATTTGCATACTTTAAAATGACTACAATATAGTACATTTGTATTTTTAACTGGTACCAAAATTAAGATGAATGATCTAGGCAAAATCTAGTAACAGTTGTCATATGCAAAAAGAAAAAAAAAAAAAAAAAGCCCTGAGTCAGTATTTTTTGCAAAAGTAATGAAAAAGAGTGCTCTGAAGTCATTTTATAACTTATGAAACGGTTAAGACTGTCCAGTATTCATTTGTCTTCTTTTTTTTTCATTTTGATTGAAGAGAGGTATGGCTTTGTTTGGTTAATCCGATTCAGATCATTCCTTAATACTCAATTTCATTTAAGTCCTCAGAATATCCTGATGATTGCTGAGTTATATCTTCCATTTCTGTCAGGAAAGACAAATAGACAATAATAGTTTTCTCTATTTTTATTGCAGAAAATACTTAATTTGCATTCTTATGATTTGAGACTATTGCAAAATCCCTTTTCAGTCAAACTTATATAATTGTAACAATATTGTTACCCGCACAGGATCCTGCTTGAAATTTAACATCATCAATGGCAATATCACTTCTTATTGACACTCCCCGAATGGCTTCAAAAATTATCTGAAAAATAATGAAGTTTGAATTTAGAAATAGAGTCATCCTGATGAAACAATGCTGGTCAAGGGCAAATCCAGGCTGTATGGGTCTGGAAGCCTAGATTGTTCTCAGGGGCCCCCTTTCAGGAAAAGAATACAAAATCACCAATTCAAATTTAGGTACAAAAGGGAATATTTATTTGAAAGTTAAAGAAATTCACAAAAATTACTGGAGCCTTGGAGATTCAAGTTCCTTTCTTCTGAGACGTTTTTAGGCAATTTCCCAGAAATGCCCACCTAGAAATGCCTCCTGGTGGTGACCTGGTTTCCCTCTCCATCTAGAACATTCTACTCCCGGTACTCACAGGGCCTATGAGAGTGAGGGGCCCAGAAGCCTAAGCTTCCTTAGGCTCTCCCTAAATCTACCTTCATACTAGTACTAGGTGGGAGAATTAACATGACGGATGTGGGGGCTTCCCTGGTGGCGCAGTGGTTGAGAGTCCGCCTGCCGATGCAGGGGACACGGGTTCGTGCCCCGGTCTGGGAGTATCCCACGTGCCGCAGAGCGGCTGGGCCCGTGAGCCATGGCCGCTGAGGCTGCGCGTCCGGAGCCTGTGCTCCGCGATGGGAGAGGCCACAACAGTGAGAGGCCCGCGTATCGCAAAAAAAATAAAATAAAATAAAATAAAATAAAATAAAATGACGGATGAGACCCAAGTATGAACAGCAACATATAATAATTAAATTTACCAAAAAGACAATGGTCATTTATCATGTTAAACACCATAACATCCAAGACACTGCCCAAGAAAAAGAGGAAACCAGTTTCATGACTTTAGATCCTAGAAGAAAATAACTGATCAAATATTCAGGTTCTAAGGAAAATAGATCATATTACCAGCTCTAAGGCTGCTCTGATAACGGTTAATAAACCACGGAATACTCCAGGGAGGCTTGTAGGTAATGAAAATCGTCCAGAAGACACATTTGCTCTACTCATTTTATGAGCAAATGACTCCCCATTGGACTAGTTTATGATTTAAACTAAATCAGAGACTATAAAGTGGATAATTAATAAGCATATGAAACTATCTTTAAATTAATGACTCAAAGAAGCTTTAATGACGGAAATGTTGCAAAATAGCATTAATAGAAATTCTGAAGGTATGACCCTAAACAAGAATCCAAATAAATGGCAAAAAGAGGAAAAAATGTCCTAACACATCTTGATAGGAGGATATATGAGTGTAGTTAATAAGTGTTTCGGTTTTCTGGACAACAGTAAAATCTGTTTTTTGACCTCCACCTCTGCAATGGAAGTATAATACACCTGATGGAATTATATCCTGAATTGTCTTCGATTGGGCCAAACACTTGATTTCATACAATCCTCTCCTTTGAATTTCCTTCATATTTGAGTGATCACCATTTTATAGCATCATGATTGCCCCTTTGTGTTATTCCCCTATTTGTATCTGTAGAAATTCTATTAAATAATTGTGGTTATTTTAGAATTAGATAAAAATATTATTTTTTTCTTTCAGTTTAAGTATATTATTTTTTTCAAAAGGTTACTAAGTCATTAGCACATAAATACTTATTGTTGGGACTCCACTACTTGATAAGTGGAACATTAGCTATCTTTTGGTCTAGGGGCACCAGGAAAAAAATTACTGAGATTAAGGGTACCATGAATAAGAAAGTTTGAAGACCTGGTCTTAGCTCAGTACCCAGCACATAATAATTCATACTAAATGTTAGGCAGTATAATGAACAATATGAATGATATAAATATTTCACTGAGCTGAGAATTTGTCTAACACTCTCTTTCAATGGTATCAAAATATAAGAAATCAAGGAGGAAAACACCTGAGAGCAGAGGAGGAAAGGTAAGCAAGGAATCCAAAGGAAATAAAATCATTTTGTGTTTTTGATCAATGGTGAGTCAGGTTCTGCTTAGCACTTTAATAAATCCCTTAGGAAAGGACGTGATTAAAATTTTGCCACTTAATGCATTTTTTTCTACAAAGAAAAAAGTCTGATGACTGGAATATCATCCAGAGGCCACCCAGGTATTTCCCCTATAGGATAAATCTCAAATGACGGCAGTACTACAGCATTCTAAAAATCACCTACACCTGCCCACCACCACTAGTGATGTACACATTTACTTCTCTAGTCCTGTGCATTTTCCTGATCTCCAGTCTCATAGCCTATTTTTTACTTGACACACCCACTTGGATGTCTGATAGACATCAAAAGCTTTGCACATCAAAAACCAAACCAGACCAAACCAACTGTTAATTTCCCTCCTGCACATACCGCCCTCACTCCTCCAGATCTGCTCCACCTAAGGTCTTCCTCATCTCAACAAAGAGCGACTCCACTCTAGCAGTTGCTCAGGTCAAAAACTTTGAGGTCATCTTGACTCTTTCTCTCAAACCCCACATTCCACACGGAAGAAAGTCGTGTGGGCTTCTGATGACATCTCACCTCTGCTGCACAGCCCAAGCCACCACTCCTACTCCTCTTGCAGGAGCCCCCAGAGTCTACTCCACTGCAGCCTACTGTCCATGTAGTACCCGGAGTGATCGTTTTAAAATATAAATCAGACCATATTACCTTAAAGTCATCTGATGGTTTCTCATTGCTTTTGGAATGAATTTCAAACTCTACCATGTCACCCAAGACCTTACATGAGTATTCCCTGATACTTCTTTGACCTCATTACCTGATCAGCTTGACTTATTCTTTTTCATAGCGCTTATTAACACCTGATATTACATTGTATATTTTTGTTTCACAGTTTCTACCTCTCTGCCACTAAAATGTAAACTAAAAAAGAGTAGGGACTCTATGCTATGTGCATTGCAGTATCCTCGGCACTTAAAAATAGTAAATGGTCAATAAATATTTGTTAAAAGGAGATATTTTGGCCTCATACTATAGGATCTCAGTCTGAATGCCTGAGGTAGCTATTGAGATTACCAGGTCTGCCATGGTTATAAAGACCAGAGATATTTGGGAGAGAATATATTTTTAGAAACAATAGTAGTATCTTTTTATAGTTTGGTACTTTAAAGTTTATAAACCCTTTCACAAGCATAATCTCATTGGACCCTCACTCTAACTCTGGTGATATCAGCATGGCAGGCATTATTACCCCATTTTGAAAATGTATAAACAGTCTCAGAGAGGATAACATTTCTCCAAGATCACTCAGTGCTTGTGGCACCCAGGGCAATGAGTGTATTTTGGGACTTCTATGGTGGGAGGGAACGTAGAACAGTGGCTTAGAGATACAAACTTTGGAACCAGTCAGGTCTGGGATTGAGTTCTCACTCTGCCACTGACCAGCTGGAGATTTAGTTTTCCCCATCTTTAAAGAGGAGCTGTGATATCAATTGGAAGAACTCATGCACAGCTCTCAGCACTGTAAGTACCTGGCACATAGAAGATGGCCATTTGTACATGAGTGTCTCTGTGTTTTATTAGACACTAGGATGTGTTGGAGAACCTAGCTCATCATGGTCTCCAGACAGTCCTGAGGGAATCACAAAATCAAGGAGAAAATTCCTCATGGCAGATTCATATCTATTCCATTCTGAGCCAAAGGGAATGGTCTGGAATCTTCTTTCCAAATTGAGAGCTGAAAGTCTCTCAGGTCATTCCTCACCTTTGAACTTGAACACCCCAAGATGCCACCCCAGGTGCCTCACTACTTTGTGCTCAAAAATATTTTCAAACAACAAGCCACCTAGCAAGTCTAGTATATGCAAGGACCTGTACCTGGCCCCCAGGTTAGATGCTGGGAAGTCACCTGTTCCATAGAACTCAAATTCTGGAGCTCCTCTGCATCAGCATCATTTGGGGGTTTTAAAAAACATCTGTGCTCAGGCTCTACCTGAGAGACTCAGATTCGTTTCGTCCAATAACAGAGATTCTGCATCTTTAGAGTACATCAGAATCACCAGGAGGCTTGTTAAAACGTAGATTTCAGGGCCCTAATCCCCAGAGCTTCTGGTTTGGTAGTTCTGAGGTGGGGCCTGAGAATGTGTATTTCAGGTGAATTTCATATTAGGTGCATATGCATTTCAGGTGTTGCTGCTGGTCTCAGGACCACACTTTGAGGACATTTGAATAGGGTAGGAGTATGAGTGCCCTGATAGCCTAAAAAATTAATTCATCATCTCTGAATGGTGATCAATGATATCAATAAGTTCCTGAGTGATCCATTTTCCTTCTGTAAGCAGATATTAAATCACTATCAAAATTATTCCTGGGGCTTTTTTTCTTTGCTAAAGCTTTAGATAATTTTATCCATGCCGAGATAATGGGCCAACCATAAATAATGGCACATCTTCCCTCTGTCATTTGTTCTTAGCAATCCAGCACCCTAGATGGCACTGTAACCTGGTCACCTGAGCTTCTGCAATTCATTCCCATTTAGATCTGCAGAAAATTAATTTTGGTTAAGGGGTGGTGTAAAATAATGTCTTTCTTTTGGATACGTCTTCCTTAAATCTTCCTTTAAGATTTGCTTAAACCAAGCGGCCAGTGGTTGAAGTTGAGGGGTGCTGGTCCAGAAGCAAGGATGAGGAGGCAGTAGGGCTTTTAGCTGAAGGTCACACCTGGAATTCTATAGAGCAATTTCAGGAATAGTCAGGGGTCTAATGTTATCTCCCCAGAGCTTTCTGGAGCCTTGGCTCACGGTAGGCAGGTGAAGTCAGTGGCTTTCAGGAGGCTGCTGCTGATTTCTAGACTAACTGGCTGCTCAATCTCACCCACTGGAATTGAAAAGCCTCTTTCTTATTGCTGTCCAGATTCCCTTATAATTGGGATCCTGTAGGATGGAGGTCTTCTACCGCCCGTGAGAAGACCCAAGGGGAGACCCAGGGCATAGGATCAAGACTAGTTTCTTCTGCATCAGTGCGGACAGAGGCTTAAAAATTTACTCTGGACCACATACTCTGTTAAATGGAAGCTTACAACAAAAGCCCTTGTGTGTCGCTAATGATGAGTGAAAGATGCAGCTGCAACAACTAATTAGGTAACACCATGTTTAGAAGAAAGAGAGACTCTGTTTTGGAGGTTTGCAGGATACACAGAATATACTTGACACTCAGAATGCACCAAGACAAAAATAGATACACTTTCATCGCTGAGTTGCAAAAATCACTTTATGCATAAATACCCAGAGCTTTCTCTTTCTGCCTAATTTCCCATTCACTGCTTAGGTTCAGTCAATATAGACTAATTATTTTTACTCTTAAACAAGTACTGCCTTTATCTATGACCCTGAAAAAGAACAAAACATTCTTGATGGTAGCAAGAAAAAGAAAGAGCATCAGAATGTTAAAGGAACATTTCCCATCACTTGATTCTTATCTCTTTTGGCTTACCTGGTGTCGCCTCTCACAGGTGTATTCAATCAGCACCCGGAGCCAGGAGATGCTCTGCTCACCTCTTCTTCTCCATAAGAGGGACTCTTCACTGTCACCTTCCTTTTTCAAATAAACATTCAGGAGGCCAGTCCCTGCTCCATACATGTGGTAGAAAAAATTCAAGCAGTGTTTTCCAGTGACTCCTCGTAGAGGCCTGGACGAGAGTCGTGCTTTTTGTCCGTACACCATGTGGGAAGCCTCGATGTACATGTAGTAGCCTTGACAGCAGTGCAACGTCAGGTATTGTTAAAAAGGGCACTAATTATATTCGCTTCTTTCTCTTACATATACATGTATATTTTTCCAGATTATTTTCCATTATAGGTTATTACAAGATATTAAATATCGTTCCCTGTGTTGTACAGTAAATCCTTGTTGCTTATCTATTTTATGTATAGCAGTTTGTATCTCTTAATCCCATACTCCTAAGTTATCCCTCCCCTCTTCTTTCTCTTTTGAGTAGTGTTCTTGGAAACAAATCAGAGTCAATGGATGACTTGACTACAGTACTGATAAAGGATTTTATAATTTTGGAGAATATGTATAATCCAAGGAGGATAAATATGCTACAAAATTTAGACCATCAAAATAAGTGTTTTCATGTAATAATTTATAATTCAGTTTAACATACAGGAGGTAATAAATATACTAGTATTGTGCCACTGAGGTGGCAATTAACATATCAGAATTTATCCTACTAATTCGTGGACAATATTCTGAGCTTCTAGACATTGGTTTAGGGGAATAGTCAGGTAGATCTGGGTTCAAGTCTTGGCTCTAACATTTGTTGTCTGTGTGACTGTGGTCTAATGGATATCCTCTCTGAACCTATTTTCAATTTAAAAATAAGGATTAATAAACCTGTGCTACAGAGTTGTGAGAATTAAATAATGTGTGCGACATATACTCACATGTAATACATAATCAAATATGAGTTTCCTGTCCTGCCCGCTTTCCTGAGGTTTTCTGTGACACTTCTTGAAAGTATAATTATATAATATTTAATATAATTATATATGACATTTAATATGTTATATACCTTATACTATATACTATACTTCATATACATGTTAATTATATAACACTTTACATTTCCATTTTCCTTACTTAACTTTAGTTTGTTTTTTAATTTGCTGGTTTCAGGCAGAAGCAGAATTAGTTCACATGTAAATAAGGCAGTGGTGTGTTGGAGCCTGTTTCCACTGGCTCCCGACAACCAATTGTGTTATTTCTGTTGGTAGGTCCAAATGGCTTCACATTGGTAGTTTGAAATGGGCCACGATGGAAGTATTTACACCACAGAAATGGGACATAACTACAGATCAGCCCCCCCCCCACAAAATAGAGCTGGTTGGTATTAAATAATTACCATGAAGCTACTGAAACAGGCAATATATTAATAGTAATTTCTAGAATAATACAGCCATAATATAATTCTGTGCACCTGTGGTTCATTTTTAAAAAAGCCTTGCACTCTACATAAGTAGCTCCTAATCTTTGCTCATTTGATGAAAAGTTTATATCTCTTCTACCTGAAAAAATATGCACAGGTTTTTGTATGTGATTTCATTGTCTTCTTTGCCAATATTGATTTTTTTACATACACAATGTAAAAATAATTTTTACATAATGTTATCTATTATTTCATGCAGAAATTAATGGCCGCATTGAGGGAAAAAAGAGATCCCAAATAATGCATGCAAATGAAATGGCTTCTAGAGCATCCTTATCGTTTGAAGTTTAATCAATGAGGTCTATTCATTTCCCAAAAGGCAGTGCGTGAGATACCCCAACCAGAACTGATGAGAAGCTCCACCTACGCTCCTTCAAGGCACTCCTCCTCTTCCTTTCCCTCATTTCCGTAAAGACCTGAGAATCCTACATGCTATTAAAAGGGTGGGAGAAAGAGTCCTGCCCAATTTGGTCTTATCAAATAGTGTGCACTGTGCAACCCCTTCCCCCAGCGTTTCACTCAGTACAGTTATCACCCTGAAAAACTGGGTGATCAGAGTCACGGGGTGTGGGCTTCATCAACCAGTCATCCCCATGACCTGCTCTAAAATATTGGGAAAATATTGTCATGTTTCTGGCGTGCTCGCCAATGGCATCCTCATTACTAAAACCAGTGGTCAATTTTCAGTCCTGGTCATTCTTGTCATCAGTAGCATTGGACAGAGTAGATCACTCCTGCCTCCTAGAAGGACTTTCTTATCTTGGTCTGTGGGAAGCTGCCCTCTCCCGGTTTTTCCCCCACCTCACTGCTTACTCCTTTGCTAGTTCACCCTTTCTTCTCTGACTTCTTGACCCTGGAGTGCTCCAAGGCCCAGTTTTTGAACTTCTCTATTCTCACTCACTCCTTTGGGGATCTCATCTTGTTTCATGGCTTTAAATGTTCTGTGTTGTCATATCTCAAATTTAAATTTCCAACCTCTTTTCTGAAATCCAGACTTGTTTATTTAAACTGCCTAGTAGACATCTCCACATATTGTCAAGGAGGCATCTCAAACTGAACATGGTCAAAACGAGGCTCCTAACAGCCTTGCCCTAAAGCCTATCCTACCCTTTCTAGTTGACCAGGCCCCAAACCTGGCCATCATATGCCACGCTTTGCCTCCTCTCACTCTTCACATACAGATGGTCAGGAATTCCTGTTGGTTCTACCTTCAAAATATGTCCAGAATCCAGTCATTTTTCTCCTCACCACCTCCATTGCTAACCCCTGGTCTGAGCCAGTATCATTTCTCAGGTGGATTAATACAACACTTCCCAACTAGTCTGCCTGCTTTTACCCTTGTTCTCTGCAATCTAATCTCAACATAGCAGCCACAGTAAACCTTCTAAAACAAAAGCTAGATTTTACCATTCCTCTGTTCAAAACCTTCCATTGGCTCAGCATTTCACTCAGAGTGAGAGCTGAATGCCTGAAAATGTTTAGGGCCCCATACGATCTCCTGCTCATTCTCTTAGCTCTCTGATTCCTACCACCTTTCTCCTCATTCACTCTGGGTTGTGTGGTCACACTGAGTTCCCTACTGTTCCTGGAATACAGTAGGTATACTACCACCTCAGGGCCTTTGTGTGTGCTAAGCTCTGCTTAGAATGGCTTTTCTCTCATATAATCTCAGGTCTCACTCTCTCACCTCTAACTCTTTGCTCAGATATTACCTTTTCTATTAGGCCTATTCTGACTACACCATTTCAAATAGCAATTCCCTTCCTCTGGCACCCCTCTTTCTCTATACCCTAATTTATTATTTTCCACACCATTTAATTGCCTCTTAGCATGCTGTACGATTTTCCTATTTTTTATGTTTGTCTCCTTCCTCTGGAACACACAAAGGCAGAGATATTTCCTTGTTTACTTCACTATGGCTCCAGGTCCTAGAACAGTGCCTGGAACATAGTAGATGCTCAGTAAATATTTGTTGAATGAACAAATGAATTTTTTCCACAGCTCTAAGCCACAGACCAGTTTGACCATTTCCAAAGCACATGGCTCTATCAAGGTCCCTCCAGTTGCAAGAGGATCTTGGCAATGAGACATGTACTTGACTAGGATGCTCCAAGGCAAAGCTGGAACAAGTCCAAGTTTTGATAAAATTAAAGTCATATCAAAGCAAGTGTTCTCAAGTTAGTTCCACACCATCTGATGTATTTTTTAACCAAAGACACATTCTTAACTTCATTATCTTCATTCTTTCACTGGCAATAAAATTGCTACACAAGAAGCACTGGGGATTTTATACCTTTAGCAATGAGAGGAAATTTTATTGTTCTTTTCTCTAATATTTCCTAACTTAAGCGAGGCTAGATATAAACAAATACAGATACACAAAATCTTTACAGAAGGGTGTATTTAATTTAACTCCATGGAAAATAAAGGCAAAGTATGAAATGACCACGGTTTATCACCTACTATGCACAAAGGTATTCCATACTATCCTATACATAAGTTAGTATAGTACAGTGAACTGAAACCCTACTTTAATGCATGTTTAAATTTTAAAATATTTCCTCCAGAAATAATTCTTAGGTAAATAAGAAGAAAGTCAAAGAAAAATAACTTTGGTGCCTGGCTTTGGGGCACTCAAAAGCCTACTTGAATCCTAAGAAAAGGACCTTGGCTAAAGATGAAACACTCAATTGTGGGGCAGGGAGGGCTCCTCTGAAAGATGCTGTCATTGGGAAACTGGAAAGTAGAGACTATTGTGGGTCTAAAACGTGAAGTCTTTTCAGAGTGGAAAGGAAGCAATAGATCCATCGTGAGAGATGACCCAAGAAGTATCTTCCATCTAGTGATGATAGTGCATCCCAGTGATAATGACATGAGTCCTGGCCAAAATAGTCTGAGGTCCTGGAAGAGAGGTAAACCTCTAATCACCTCCAGGATTATCTAACTGAATTTTTTCTTTCGTGAGTATTGTGCACTAATCATTTAGCCTCAACTGGATGAAGCATTACTCTGGTAATGCTTTCAGCTCATGCGTCTCTGGGTCTTGGGTATCTGACTGAAGCCATTACCTAAGGTTTCTAGTTCCAGGGATTGTTGTATTTAGTACCATGAAAGATGAAATGAAAGCTCCTAAGGTGTTTGACTTGTGTAATTGTGCTGCTTTTGGAAGAGAGGGGTAACATCCAGGGGAGTGTCAGTATAACTGTGCCTTTCTGGGGCACTGGCACCAGTCTGCTTTTCTTGAGTAATGCTGACCGTTCCAAAAAGCCTTCAGGTTTTTTTTTTTTTTTAACGGTTTCTATTTTAAGCAGATATGCATATTCCATAAGGCAATACTGATTTAGACTAATCTAGCTCAACATCTATACCTAAAAATAATTGTAACATATTTGTCAACTGATCAGAATTTGTCCCTTTGATGCCCAGACCAATTATTCCTCTTGATTCCAAATGTTTTTCTTCTTGACTTGCATGTGACACTTCCTTTCCCCAGGAAGGATCACAGCTTCACGGAGAGCCAGTCTGCCTCACATGTGTTTAGAAAGCAGAGAAAAGCCCTGTGTGTTGACAAGCTTTGCCACATTCCAACTCCAAATGCTGTCTGTCTCAGCAAACAAAAGCTATGGATTGGAGCCAGGAGCCCCAGTGCTGAAACCTCAGACTGGCTTACGTGTTCCTGCACATGAAGGATTCCAGTCTGCGGAAGGGATTATTAACTAGAGAAAACAAATCACTTTCTCTCTGTGGATCACTGTTTAACATTCA